GGCCGAAAGTTCCCGAACTCCCATAGGATTGTGTACGAATATGGTTTAATTCTTACTATGCGTGCATACGACTATGTAGCACCTTGATTTTCAGGTATGCTAGACTATATGACAAGTCCTTTCCAACAATGTATCAATGGCCTGAATCAAATCGGGGGTTCGGCCGTAGTGGCCGAATTCCCGATTTCACATAGGAATATATGGTTAAAATGAGTTTTGCGTTTACCAGCGGAGGCCATTATGTAGCACCGCCATTTTGGGATAATATAAGCTCTGAGGTAAGAGCTTCAAAATGAAGTATGAATGGACCGGAACAAATCAGGGGTTTGGCCGTCGCGGCCACCCGAACCTTAGCTTCCATAGAAATACATGTATTATTATAAATGTTGATCACGGGAGCAAAACATTATGTAGCATCTTCATCTTCTAGTATTGTCTACCCCTTGAGGTGGTCTTTCGATGGTATAGGTATCATGAGTTTCTAATCAGGGGTTTGTCCATTATGGCCACATTACCGATGTTCGGTAAATGTTTTATGTGATAACTCGTAAACGGCTTATAGCGGGACCGCGATATTTGTATGATATATGCGGTATAAGGATGTGATTAAAATGAGGTATGATTGGTGTCCGTCCGTCCTCGGGATTACCGATTCTGGCCAGATTACCGATATCGTAACTTAATGTATGGGTATATTCATACATGTTTACAATATAAATGCGAGTATAATGGTGTATGTGAATAGTACATACATATATGAATAAAGTATTGGCGCGAAGAATATATAGAGTAGAGTCACGTGTCAATTAGGTATTAATAACGGGTCTTAACTGTAATTAAAGTTTACAGTAAATAGTGTTTAATTACACTAATTAGTTTTTCCTGACAATATGCAAACCAACTTGGTTTGACCCTAATTGATCAAGCACACTTTCCCGTAATCCGATGCTTATTGATATTTTCATTTACATTGACTAAATTAGTCATAAATATTTCAAATAGTTTAAATTTCTAGCTATAAATCAAATGTAATTTATTTGTATCCCTCAATACGATAGTGAAAGACATTGAATGACAACTCATTGATGTTTGCATATCTTATTCAAACCATTATCGGCTTTAAATACATGTCTATTGATGTAAAACATTGTTTGCTGTCAACAAATTCAGTCAATATATCATTTCCTGTAGTTTTATTAAACTATTAAAAGTTTATCTAAAAGTTTGGGTTTTGGGATATATTTGTGTACATTTGATATGATTGCTTGCGATTGCGATCACAAAGACATTCATTGAATTGATTTCAATATTTGAAACAATAATTTGACAAATTTCTAAATCAAACACTAAATTGAAAGTTGTATTTAAATTGTTCACAAAATGTGTGCTTCAATTGCAAACGCCATTCACTAATAGTGTACACCAATTGTGAGTCATTTGATTGGCTGTCAATACGATAACATTGAAGGCAATCGTTATGTTATGCTATGGAAGGCATTGAATACAACCAACGCTTGGATTGCAAAACAAATCTTATCTTTAATTTAATTATTATTGTTATAATTATTATGTTTTCAGACAAACATCTCATGTGTTTTTGACCATTTGGTGACCATTTAGTGACACAAACAATGGTCTGACCGCTGAGACCAACGATGAAGAGGTCCACTAAAGGCACGGCTAATACACGTCTCATAAGGTGTGAAGAGTTGTGTTGTTTTGCTCTCAATTTTATGCATAATTTAATTAACGATTAATTGTATTGACACTACTTTTTATGTATAATTTGCTCACTATTTGTCACTCATTATAATTGCATTGATTTGAATGTATTGTGTTTTGTGTTTGTCTTCGGATGGGATCAGAGAAGTGATAGAATTGGCCAAAGAGTTGGATGGAGTGATATCGGGGGCCAAAACACTGAGACATGTGTTCACTGAGAGTGTCATTAAGACCAGAGACCGGATGAAGGAGTTGTGCGAAGACATCCTCTACTCGTCTCCCATTGAATTCGGGCGAAAAGCCGAAGACTTTCTGTGGAAACGATGTTTTCACGACTTAATGCTGTTTTACAAACGAAATAAAAAGGTTTTTAATTAGAAAAATAAACAAATGTTTGACTCATGTATTGATAACTGCTTTTAAATGTGTTCAGAGGATGTCTTTATCGGAGATATCGTTACTGCAAATCCATTTGACGGCAGGACTGGGACTCTACTATAGCCTTCTGTTAGGCCTTTCAAAGCAGTACTCGATTGGCATTCAAAACCTAATGCCATACATATGTGTTGAGCAAAGTATTGAAGAGTTTAGCCGCGAAACACAGCCAAACAGCCATGAATTGAATGGTTGGGCCAGAAATGCAATCCATAGAATCCTGATATGTATGGGAGACTTAGCCCGTTATCTCTACGATCTGGAAGCGATGGGCTATCGAGAGCTGGCCATCAGATTCTATGATTTGGCTCTCATTTGGGATTTAGACATAGGAATGCCTTTTAATCAATTGGGAACTCTTTCCGAGTCTAACAATTATGGATTGGATTCTGTTTACTATTACATGCGATGGTATGCCTTGTTTTAGAGAGATCCATACCATTGAGTTTCTATTAATTGATTTGTCTTTTAGTCTGACGTGTGATAAGCCCTTTGAAGGCGCGGAAAATAATTTGAGACGAGTTTTTGAATGCAATGAAAAACGTTTTAACGAATTAAGAGAGAGACCATCGGCTGACGAGAGCTATAAAGTGGTCGAGCGATCGATTCTGTTGTTTCTCAAGTTATCCAATGAATATTGGTTTATAAATCCATCCGATAATCAATTTAACAAAAATATTTTACCGCTTTTACAAGAAATCCTCCACTCGTTGAACACATCGTTTAGTTTACAGCCAAAGCTATCCACTGAACAAATGCCGACTTATATAACACCAATGACTGCGTTTGAAATGTCTGTCATTACTCTAATGCTTGTCGACCGCATCCAAGAACTTGAAGAGCGCAAGAACTCGTCGAATGGCAATGAAATGGTTTCGTTGATTTTGACATTTTCTTTGAATTATCTCATGTCTGTCGTGGCGTCGAGTCATCAAAGTATGAGAAATAAGTTAGGATTGGATTCGTTTAAGTTGACTAATGGTCTCACATCCATGAGTCCGAGTGTGTCCAAAGAGAATACACCCGATCTGTCGCCGCGTCGAGTCCTGTCGAGACTGCGAAGACGTAAGGCTGCCATCAATTATGACGATAAGAATGCGTTGAGTTTAGACGACGACGATTCAGAACTCAGCCAATTAGAAGACACGGCTTTGAGTACAATTGATTGCCTCGAGATTGGATCAGATCTGAGTGATTCCAATGAGGGCAGCGATTCTTACGATATAAATGACGTGACGATCATTAGTAGCGATGAGGACAACCCCTATCCAAACAAACCGATCGGCACCGGAACCAAGCATTCGGACGCACCGGTGATGCCCATCGAAGATGTGCTCAATTATGTCTTGAATGACAGTTATTTGCCAACAATTAAGGTGTATTGCGATTGGTTTCGATCTAATCCTAATATATTGGCATTGATTTCAAGTCAACTCCAACTCTGTTTCGAGGAATTTATTAATTTTGTCAATACTTTACTGAATATTGAGCACAAAATTTTACAGTCGTTTCCAAATCTGTCAGAATTTAAATGCTTTGGAGTCCATTGGGATCAAAGATATCCATTGACTTCGGATCTAAGCCTTTCAAACATCGAAAGCTTGAAGACATCGTTTAAAACGATTCATTTCGATAGTCAAAGAGTTTTAAATAACTGCGAAAAAGGCTTTCTCTGTATTGAAGCCATTATAGCGTTCACTCATTTCATCAGTGATTCAAACTATTGTCCAAATGTTTATGGGATTACTTACGACTCGACCGAAAACCGTTTCTCATATAATAGTTATTCAAACGGCACTCCATTTAATTTCTTCGCCGCCAATACATGGACTGAAGACAACTCGATATTTGTTTCATCGAATCCACTGTCGGTTAATAATACGGAAGACAACGAAACGGTTGACGACTCGAAACGACAGAAGAAATTCATGCGGAATATGGCTCACCTCTGGCTTAGAGTATGTTTTGTTAGTGTTTTCGATACGGTTTTGATATTTATGTTTGAATTTAGGCTGAAGTGAATCAACTCGAAAAGGATATCAGTTATTCCCCGCAATTACCGCCGTATATGGTATTGGATTCCAGCGCTTATTGTCAACACTTGGGTTTCATTAAAGAGTTGACACATTCCAAGAGGTTTATTATAGTGGTTCCCAAAATAGGTAATTTTTATTTCGCATAACATATGATTGTTTATATTTGTGTTTTTTAAATGATTATATTTTTGTATACAAGTGTTGTCTTCTTTGGACCAAATGAAGAAGACTAACGCATTTGCCAGAGAAGCGATTCGTTGGCTCGAAGAAGAGCTAAGACACGGGAATCGAGTGATCAAATGCCCAAAAGATACGGAGAGAAAAAGTTTGTCTCCAATGAAATACCCGAAACGCAAAGAGAAAGAGGCTTTCGATTACTACGAGTTACTCGAGTATTGCAATCATTTGAATGAAAACACCAAAACTGACCGCAAATTGATGAACGGATTGCCAATGGTTTCACTTTTGACGCATTCATTTGACAAATTGCCTGCAAATGCCGAAGCGGTGGCCAAGAGTTTGGGTAAGCGTTGCTTTGATGACTGATTGCATTCAATTGATTGACTTGTTTTGATTGTAAGGCATTCATATCGAAACCGTCGACTCGTTTATAACCAAATGGCAGAACTCAGTCAAAGCTATTACCTGAACAGAAGGCTTATTAAAACTGGATTTCAAAATTTAATGATTGGTCGCAATCAGGTTTATGAGTGAATCGACTTTTATCAGCAATAATTGTGGTAAAAGTGTTCACTAAAACCATAAACACAATGATATTTCATACAACAGTTAATTGCAATTTAAGATCAACCAAAATAATGGCTGATTTATTGGGCAAAACTCATCGGTAATGTCGACAAAAACCAGTTTTTGTTGGAAAAACTAATACAATTTCTAATTTTTTAAAATTCATATTTATATCAATTCTTATGTAAGTCTTTGGTTCTTCTGTTAAATACATTGATTTGAGAATTTAAATAAAAACACAATTAAATACAATTGACTTTAAAATATACATCAATTCAATCGATAAACAGAAAGTCAAAAGACGAGATATTTCGTAACTTTATGTTATTTTTTGATAATCTTATTTAATGTAATGCTTTCTCCGACGATCAAGATTTACATCTGATGTCAATATTAATGAGATTTTAAGGCAGAAAACAGTTCGTAATTTTTTAACAAATGTTTGAATCGATAAACAGTTTAAAAAATCAATTTCTGATGAATCGCTGGTCAGATATGATGAACATATCGGTTAAGATAATTATTAATACAGAATATTAATGTAAAATACTTTATCTCAACTTATTTCCAGTTTTTTAGCTCATACTTTGCTTTAAGATATTTGTAGGAATTTTTGTCATATATTGACTCTCTCTCCGCTCTCCCACTATATACTTGATTACTGTTTTGATAAGTTTTTAAGATTTTTTAAAAAACATTTTGAAATTCATTCATTCAGTAATTATTCTTTCTTTTATTTTTTTTGTTGCTTTTTATCGAATATTTATGTTTTTAATGCAATTTAATGGGGAAAACGTATCATTGAATTGTCATTAAAAGTAATTTTTGTTCTTTTGATGACTTCTTTTGGATAAATTTGGAGAAAAAGATGACATATTTTTTGTTATCAAATAATATTTTTTAAAATAAAAATGTTTTGTTTGTGTGAACTCAGAGCCCATTTGATTAATAGCTGTAATTTAGTGATTGAATACTTTTAATATATAAATATATAATTGAGTTTCAGTTAAGCTCTAATTTATTGTGCGCTTGTTTTATGAATATTTGCATGAATTTTGATTTTATGTAATGTTTTGTTATTTTTTGTTTTGTTGTGTTTTTTGTTCATGAGTTTTATGTTTTTCAATGTTTAGTGTTTTATGTGTTTAATGTGTTTTTGGTTCGGAAATTGAGGTGAAATGGAGAGAAAATAAGCAAAAAAACTTTGCGATCATTTTTCATTCCTTTTTTCTTCCATTGATTAAAAAACTCAATGTTTTTATGGTTTGGAATATAAATAAAGTAAAAGAGAGAAGAAAAACAAAGTTTTGTCTGAATTGATAAGAGTTTGCAAATAAAATCAAAAAATATGAATAACTTATATGGAAGAGAGAGAGAGAGAGAGAGAGAGAGAGAGAGAGAGATTGAAATATAAATTACCGATAACTTTGTTGAATATGATTTTCCCAAAACATTTTTACCATGAATAACAAAGTGTTCAACACATGCTAATACCATACATAATAATAAAGAAAAACTAAATATTAAATTACCGATTATGGGGTGTATGGCGAGAGAGAGAGAGAGAGAGAGAGAGAGAGAGAGAGTAGTCAAGGAAACGAGTGGCACCGACACTACTACACAATATTATACAATAATACAGAGTACAGTACTCTTGTAATATCCAGTATAAGCCTTAACCATACCAGCGATTGGAGGCTGACTTTTCTCAAAGAAAGCCTCAATTATGACATATAAATGCAATTTTATGGCTAAATAATTGCAAACGTCAGGAGAAATGTGTAAAAATGTTAAACCCATTCAAACATTGATTTAACAGCAAATTGAAAATTAATGCAAACTTCTATTGATATAAGTGTTTGAGAAAACTTAATGCATAAGTTATAGTTAATTGAAATGAATTGAAGACAATAATTATGGTATATTTCGTAACACATTCTCATTGCTTTCCATTCTATTAGTAAATCAGACAAAAATATGATATAATTATATGTTTGCAATCAATCAATAATAAAAATTAACGTTTTTTAATGCAATTTTCAAATTTTCTCACTTATTATTACTTATTAACTATTAATTGATTTGAAAATGAGATAAAAAATGTTTAAATGAATATAATATACAATCGATAGAAAAACACATGAATGAACTAATTATAATAATAAAGTAATATAAATGATAAATACAACAAAACTTGTTCTCATATCTAATTAGTCTCTCTCTCTCTCTCTCTCTCTCTCTCTCCTTTCTACTTCTTAATGCTTAATGCACTGGAGGTTTGTGTGAGAGAGACAGCACTGGAGGGGAGAGAGAGAGAGTATGTGTGTGAGTGAGAGACAGAGAGATTGTGAGATAGAGAGTTATAATAAATTTCATTCACTTTGATCTCAACAAACAGAGCAACCCATCCATTGGCCAAAAGCATTGATGCGAATGCAATGCAATCCTCACATAATCGAAGCCAACTGTGCTCTCACTCTGCAGTGTATCCCAAATGTTGGGAACAGTTGTGAAGCACTTCTAATGGGATTAGACTGAAGAGCCCAAAGAACAGGCCGTAGAGTCTTGTCTATAGATTTGCCAGAATTAGTGCAAATTGTTTCACGCATTACAACACATTCTGATCGAAAATAAATTAAAATCTAATCATTAATACATTATTCTTAGTCTTCTGTCTATTCAACAATACATACCTTTATTTCAAATTCAAGGCTTACTAATAGAGATGGATTAGACCTATCACTCCATAGTCTCACACATTCTCTTTTTCATTATAACTCTCTCTCTCTCTCTCTCTCTCTCTCTCTCTCTCCACTGATTGAATCGAAATGTTTGCATTCATTCATAAATTCAATTCAATTATTCAACTACCAGAACAAGTAACCATTTTTTATTCTTTTGGCTGAAATTAAATAAGTTTAATAGTTTGGTGTTGTATTGCTTTTTATTGTATTATTTATCGCATTTACTCTCTATTTGTTTCAATTGAATCCATACATCAATTCCAACCATTGATTTAGAAGACAATTGTGTGACCGAAATGTTGTGCAGCGCCTATACATCGGTGTAATATATTGTTAGTAACTCTTGTTAATCGATTAAACTTTGTATAACTTGTCGACAGAAGTCTAAATAATTTTGGGTCAACTCTTTTCTACATCAATACAAACAGTTTTGTGCGAAAA